TTCAGATTACGTACTTAATGACGTCCTTTCTGGTATAGTGACGCCACTTCCCAATTCGTTATAAAGTGTAAGCTAAGACGATATAGCGAAATATTTGTGTTAGCCAAGTCGTTTTAACGAGAAAGTAAAAATACTAGCCTACTAAGGTTTTCGTATACAGACTACTATGAGAGTATAAATCAGCTCAGTCATTATAATGAAAAATTTTAAAAATATTTGATCAAACACCCACTCGTCTTGATAGACTAGGATCTTATTTCTGACCTACATTGATTACCTGCTATGTGTACAATGAAATACAAGTGATTCTCGACAACTAACGCTACACAAATTATTTGCAGAGAAATGACTAAAAAGCATTAAAATGAAAAAGAGGCCAATTCTATTATAATGAAAATAAATCATAATGATAGACAGATTAAAAGCACAAGAAAAAAGTACGAAGGAGATTAATCATAAATCTCACATGTGTGTTACTACCTACAACCCAAAAAGCAGGAAAAAAACTATAAAGCATTACCAGAAAACATAACTGATAAAGATGAAAAGCTCGGACATTCTTTCATTAAAAAGCCAACAATTGCATTTAAAGGACACGCAAACACTACAGAAACAATCGCTTAACACATGATACAAAGATGGTAAAAAATATATTAAATTACATCTACTTAGTAGAAATAAAGCTGCAATGATTTAATCATGCCTATTACCTCGTGCATTTTTACTTGTTATACAGAACAGGAAAAGTTTTGATTTGCGCGGATAAGATTATGTATCCAGCAGCTAAATAAAAGCAGTTTATATGTATTTTTATCAATTGGAAATAAACTTTCGATTGGATTTCAAATAAACACAAATTGTACATTTGTACATGTATTGAAAGAAATCCAAAATTGTACATGTGTTTAATTCATTAAATAACTACAGAAATCAACTATACGCATTTTAATGTTAAAAATAGAATAGTGGTATGACTTTTAAATTTTTCCCATATAGCGGAATGGAATATTAATATGTTTTATTGTCTTTGGTTTATGACTTTTAAATTTTTTCCATATAGCGGAAGGGAATATTATTATGTTTTATTGTCTTTGGTTTAAACAAAAAATATCACCAAAAAGAGCTATTTATCATACAACCAAGGAATAAAAGAAGTATACGTTCCTTAAAGCCGAGTACCTTTTATTTGATTATAGTGACGATAAAGCTGTTGTTGATTGTTACATCAACATGAAGACGTTCCTTAGTTTCCTAGTTGTTCTTGAATATATCAACCTCATTTTAAAGTGTTTTCGTCCATTTTTCACCCGTCCTGGCTGGAAAACAGACCTTTTTCTTCATAAGCTTTTGAAAATGTCTAGTCTACATAGTAATCCAGTCCGAGGGAACTGATATATTACTGACACAGGGATCTTTACAATAAATTCAAATGGACCACGACTTATACGATTGCCTCGCAGATGACCAAGCCGTTATCTCTCTTAGTCGTGATGCAGAAACTATTTACTTCTCCATTGACCTGGCCATTTGCTGTTTTTTATGGTTTACATTTGTTCCAACTTTTTTTTGGCTTACGTAGTATTTTTTAGTTATGATGTATTTTACTTTATACATGTTATTGAGTGTACGAATAAACATTTTTTTTCAAACTAAAATGTCACTCTAATTATAATTTTTTTTCGATGAATATTACATGCTTTGTTTAAAGGATTCATAGGTAGTAATTAGTGCATAAATAGATTAATAGTCAATATACAGCATTAGTCCACACTTTATAAAAGTATATATATGTAATCGTATGTGTAATATGATATGAATTCATACATTTAAGAAGAATAACACATTTTCTTTTTAAAGAGGACACACATCAGAAAATGTTGCATTATATTAACTTAATTAAAAAGAATAGTAAAATTGAAAAAAGACTTATAAAAATAAATGTTCTTAGAATAGGTTATTAAAACATTTGACCATATTTAGATATCAAATGCATGTTAAATTTGTAATCTGAAAATAAGAGTTCCTTTTCAATTTCCTTCATTCTTTTAAATATTTAATTTGAATTAATAATCTATGTATATTGTCCCTTCAGATCATGTAGATGTTTTTCTGACTTTGATTTCCTTGACATAAACACCTCTACAACGTTTGTATACGCTCATGTTTTTGTTTGTACATAACATTATCTGTCGCATAATCAGCCCGACATGACATATGAACATGTATATCTTTACTTTGCCATTTCATTACCAAGAAAAATATGATATTTCACTCTCACCGAGTTTGGATGTAGGACTGATATTACTGTTTATGAAGACAATCATCTGATATGTGAAATATATGAGGAGATACTAAGACGTAATCAAATAGACACATTATTAGACAGTTTAAAAAAACAGTTGGCCGACAGAAAAAATAACAAATACAACACACAATATAACAATGCAAATCCCAATGACCAATCGGACAATCAAAGTTTCCTGGATAGGTGAACATATTTTGCTGGACATTTACGAAGGGACGACCGTCACCTTAATGTCAGAAACCCTTGTTTGACCAGCCTTGCAGTGATCAGCAATGCTCTGTCTAGAAAATCACGGGTGCTGCAGGAAACCCACTTCGCAGAAAGGGAAAATTAATTATTTGAAAGTTAAAGCCATCTTGCTTGTCCTACAAATCAAGGCGACAGTTGTTTACCTGATGTTCAAATCTAGTATATCGATTAAAAATATACAAATTGAGGTGGCAAATAAAAACTGAGGGAATCGTGTGAATTCCAAAAGATGCGAGACCGGATGCGTCGACAGGGTTAGCGTCTCCTGCTATAAATGCACCACCATTACGTATAACTTAGAGCCCAAACCTGCCCGTTTTGTCGATTGTAGTGTAAAAATATAAATGATAAACAAACTTTAACCTATCTATTTTGTCTTTTATTTCCAGCCCATTTGTATAAATGGGACCCAAAAGGTAATTTATTCAATAAAAAGAGGTCATGTATATGTCGAAAGCTGGAATTAAAGGACTATGCAAGTCTCTTGTCTTTCGTCTGCTGTAGATGACTTTGAATAAAGTCTGCCTCGTAAAATAATGAAGGAAAAATCTTCGATTACGGGAGCATTATAAGAACCCAATGGTAAAGCAAAAAATAAAATAACAAAAATACCGAACTCCAAGGAAAATTCAAATCGGAAAGTCCCTTATCAAATAGCAAAATCAAAAGCTCAAACACATCAAACGAATGGAAAACAACTGTCATATCCTGACTTGGTACTGGCATTTCCTCATGTAGAAAATGGTGGATTAAACCTGGTTTTATAGCTAGCTAAACCTCTCACTTGTATGACAGTCGCATAAAATTTCATTATATATAAAAAACAATGTGTGAACAAACAAACGAACATAAAAGGTAAAAAATAGGGGTACTCTGTTGATTAAATATTCAGCATGTTGATTATATCGTCTACTTGACTGACTTTTTAATCAGATAAGGGTTTAACGATGTAAGATTTGTCTTCCTAGAACTAGATATTGGAATATACGACTTCCATGTTTTGTAAAAAAACAACGATATGTTAATTTTTTAACCATGTTTTTAATTGGTATGACAAATAATGGAGTATGACTAGAGAAGTCAAAGGTTTTCACGAGATTAAAAACTAAATGTTATACAACAATTTTATAAAAATAGCAAACAGTATGCTTTTTTTCAATTCAAATTAAATGGACCCCTTTTGCTGCCTTAAAGGACAATAGCTGATATAAAATCCTTTAAAAACGTTTCATTTTAGAATAAAATTGAGTTTTTGCTAATTGTCTACTGACATTGGTGCATAATGGGGTTTTATAACATGAATAATGAAGATGTAGACAATTTATAATGGGGAAAAATTGATATTAATTCAGTCATACTGTATTACATCGCTATATACCTATTTAGTTACTCGAGGACATTATGCTGTATAATGTTTAATGTTTTAGTATGCTGTTTCGTAATTGCGTCTGTGTATCTTATATTGCCATTTTGTCCCATATTAATTAATATGTGTTAAACAGTATCAAGTATTTTTCAACCAATTTAAAATATCAATATCTTACACACAGGTATATAAAACACACGGTATTTAAAAAAACATACTTAATATCATAAAAATTGTAATGATTTTTATTAATTGTAAAGGTTAAACATGTTAAACATGCAATTTAGTCTAAAATATATAATGTAATTTTGAGTTTTCATAACCAAACATCCCTATTTTTGGAGGGAAATATATAAGGAAGTACGGTACAAAAGTGTCTTAACAAATCTGTAACATAAATAAAACTAAAATAACTGACTGGTGTTGTATTCATTCGTAGTAGATTTTAAATAAAAGATAAAACACCAGTGGCTTTCTATTTAAATTCATTTAAAAACCAACCATTGTATTTTAAAATTTTAAAAATTGAAGTAAAGACACTATTGTTCTGCTAATATTGATACTAACTTACGAGTTCAAAGTTTCTTTTAAACATCACCCCTTGCCCATTACAATACTAATATATCCAGTGAAAATGGGGTTAGTCACTATCTCTTTTATTTTATGTTTGCACTCTTTTTCGGTTTATGCTGATGTAATAGATCATAAATAATTAATTTAATTATACAAATTGTAGAAATGATAAACTGGTACAAAACCGAAGTCAATGCAAAAATTGATCGCAAAGGAGCGAAAATGAATATAGAATATAGAATTTCGAGAAAAAAACAGATGATCCGGAATGCATAACATCGCAAGATATACATTAAAAAAATGTAATAATTTCAATTTTTATGAACCTCCCATCAATTTTACATTTTATTAAACGAAAAAAGACACAAACAACTGATTAAATTGACCAAGTTGTGAGTATAAATTATATCGTCATGTTACTGTAAAAAATTGAATATCGTTACGGCTTGGTAATTTTGAAACAAATATCTATTGTAGGCCAAGTCATAAATAGTTTATGATGTTTTCAATAGGAAATAAATGTGTCCGCCTTTATAACAGGAAGTAAAGAAGAATGATGTAATTTGCAGAAAAGACTTATGGAGCCCAAAGAAGATAACTATGAAATATTATACAGTCGTGAAGAGGTATGCGATTTCAAATTTTGAGTTTAAAATAACTTTATTTAAATAAATTTATCTATTTTTCTTTATAAATTTAAGGTGAAGTAATGTTTTGCCTTTTTTATATTGATATAGGTCTTGCTTGAATAGTCAATGTAAATATCCAGTATATATTTATGATATCAATTATGTCCATGAATTATCTGATGATACAATTGCATTCTTCAAATGTCCATCTTCTCATTCGCAAAAGAAAAAAAATATACCGTAATGTTAATCAATATGAGAATACCAATCATTAAACTTATGATACTATATAGTAAATCTAAGATCTGCTACAAGTATTCATTCATTGTAACATAGATATATTTGCGTACAAGTATCATTGTAAAAAGATAAAGACCTAATATAAAAATAAGAAGATTTGCAATGAGGCAACTCTCCACCAGAGACCAAATGAAAAATAGAAGTTAACAACTATAGGTCACCGTACGGCCATTTACAATGAGCATAACCCATACCGCATAGTCAGCTTTAAAAGGCTCCGAAATGACAGATGTAAAACAATTCAAACAAAAATAATAACTTTCTGATTTATGTTCAAAACAATGAACGAAAAACATATAAAATATATACGGCAAAAAAAAAAACTTTATTTCGAAAAATCTATCAACAGCACCTTTTTTTATATACTAAATTTTTCAATTTTGGATAGGCAATTAAGACATTCATCAAAAACAGTTAATTTGCATTTTCCAAAAAAAAACATATTGTAAAGCACTATAAGAAACTACTTAATACCAATGAGTCTTGAGTGAATTCTGAGTTACAATATCTTTTAAATAGAAATGTGTCTGTAATTTATCGATGTGAAATAAGCATTCTCAATATGCTGAAAACTATGTCTGTTTCTTTCAGTTAATAATTATTTCATAACTCATTGTGGGTATGCCAAGTGGTTAGCTTGACAAATACTCAATAATAACCATGCGTAATGCTAGGTTTATTTACATCGAACACAAGCACGAAACCCCCCCCCCCCCCCCACCGTCTCCATTCGGAATAAATTAACGACGTTCAATTCCGATTAAACTAGTGTCGAGAATCTTTATTTTTGTTTTGTTTCAGCAGTTGATAATGGTTCATCGATTGCATCTGTCGATGAACGATATTACTTCTACTTACGCTCAGCAGACAGAAACTTTTTTGTGCTTACGTTTTCTGCCAACCTGCAGTACATAAGCGAATACAAGCATAAGAAAAAAAAACACAAACACATAACGTAAGACAGGCTCTTGTCGGGCGAGTACTTAAAAGTTGAGTAAAAAAACTAAAATAAAACTGAAAAACGAAATTTTTCGATTGATGTTAGCTTACCCGAAGTTACCAATAGAAGTATGGGTCATCCTTTGAGTACCTCTGATCAAACATTTTGATGTTGATAAGTAACGACGTCACACATCCCTGATATTACAGTTGCAAGAAAGATGATATGGTGAAGGGATGCATGAAATCACTCAAATTATCAATACATAAATAGGTCAATGAAGAAAGCAGTGCCAAATCCTTTTATCATATTTTATTTCTTATATTTTGCTGACATTTGCCATAATCGGCGTTACGTATTGTAGAATGTACAACATGTACTCCTGATCCAATTTGTCAAAGTTTAACAGATGTGGTAACATTTTCGGGTACGAAGTGAGATTATATTTTTTTACAAATTAGGAAACTTAGAAAGGCTCCATTAGATGTTGCTTCAGCAGGAGAAAAGTCCCTTTTTCACATAGTTTAATTCTCTAGAAATTCAATTCTATACAAACATTTAATAACACCAAATGTTTAAATCTTAATTGTACAGTCTTCTGCTCTTCAAAAAAGCACTAATGGTTAAGCTCAGTCAATTATATATATTGGCATCATGTTTAATATCATGTATACCGTTTTTTTTTTTAAATTTCTATTCATAGTTGAGTTCCTTGATTTTGAAGCGCATTAGGGATATTGTTTATTTTCTTTTAATTTGGTGTTGCATATTTTGAATACACCGCCAACATAAGTAACGAATTTGTATTCTAATTATTGAACATAGAGAGACTGTAATACATTTTGAACATATTTAACAACAACATTTATGAAATTTGTTATTTGACAATTTCACTTATAAATTCAAAATATAAACAATTGAACGATAACATTCCTACAATACAGTCTTTTGGATTATTTCTTGACATTACCAATATTCCAAGAATGTTACACACTGAAAAACAGTCGCTTGCAAAATTGACCAGATTCGTTAATTATATAACAGTTTAGTTAATATGCCCTCTTACAATTTCACTCTTTTACAACACATAAATTAATGCAATGGACGTTTAAAAAATTCTACTTGCATCTAATTATTACAATAAAGTATGGGTTAATTTTTTAATATTAATTCTTTAATCATTTAATCAGAACGGTGTTGAGTCTGAACAAGTCAATTAATTTTAATTTAAGTAAATTTTTCAGTAAGTGATTTCTATTATGGTATTTGCACAATACGATATAGAGACAAACCGCCAAAAACACCCACATTTTTACCGCCACTTCTTTGGTTAACACCACCAAAATATTTCTACACCAAAATATTCCGATCTACGGTATGTATCAAATTTTAAGCCTTGTAAGTTTTTGTTTTATATGCTTTATAACCATATAACACTGTCTTTTGTTTTAACATTATCGTGTACTAAGAAGATAAAAGAAGTTACTCACAATGCTCTTAAACTTTACTTTATGGTCTTTTAATTTTTTTGTTTCGAGCATCATTCGTCTTTTGTAGACGAAATGTGCGTCTGGCGTCTGGTGTACAAATTAATAAATCTGGTATCTTTGATGCGTATTTTTCACATGTCAGGTGACTATAGAAATGGTTTGATTTTAAAACTTAGAAAATACTGAATAACAAGCTTAAGTCCAAACCAATGTATTGTTTCTTTATATTTTATAGAACTTCAATCGAAAGACATACCAAAGAGAAGATATACATGAACTTTTGTACAGTCGCGTGGTAAAAATCGTATTTTTTTTCATGTTTATTACTATGTTAATATATGACATAAATATCGATATCATAAATATTTTCAACACATTAAATTAACATTTATTAAAAGAAACTTAATTTTTTTTTAAGTGGCAGTCAGTCTAAGAAGCAAGAATTTAGGGATACATTGTCCGAAAAACCTACTGAAATGTGTTTGCACTTATGTGTTTTAAAAGTTAAATCTAAATTCAATAACCACATATCAAGGTGGAAAGGGTCAAAAGAATGTCAAATTATTGCTATGACCCTGAAGACTGATCCTTATTATTTGTAGATCATGCCTCTAAAACGTTCAACATCAACAATATCATCTTTGTAGACTTTTGCACAATGTATCACCTCACAACTATATCAAAGACTGTAAAATTCATAAATGGACTGGCAACTCTTGGTTAACAACAAAGCCACAAACATCACAATTAGCATAGCCAGATATATCATTAGCAATATTATAATGAAAGGGACATGTAAATAATATTCATAAAGACAAAATGACAACTCAGAAAAATGAAATGTGTTTGAATGAAAAAACCTTTAGCCAAAAAAGAATACTGTCAGTTTATTCTTTATTTCTATTATAGATTCCTAACTTGAACCTGGAATATATCTAAATATCAAATGAAAAATTCTATCGGACTGAGACAATATTATTGCTGGACAAGTCAGGGAAATAAAATTTCTAACTCATAAACATATAAGAACACGTTTAATAAGGTTATTTTGAAAACGCTTAAACCAATCCAAGTCGATAATTCCTTCTCTTTTACTTCTTTAAGTCTGTTAAAACCGACAGCTGTCATAATGTGATCCCGTCTACATTGAATGTGGACAATGCTACCCAATCGAGTAGATGTGTGTGCGAGGTCGATTGGTATGATTGATTGATTGTTGGTTGCTTAACGTCCAGTGGCAAATATTTCATGCATATTCAGGACGAGAACAAGTTCACAATAAATACAATAGGTAGGTTCTGTAATAGATTAAGGGATTAAGGTCGGAGAAATTTTGACTGCCACGGGAAATGAGGGTATATTGGATAGGGACAGAAATTTAGCCTTGCAACAGGTCACCTACGGACCCCTCAAAGAGTTGTTGCAAGGGTTCTTAACGTGCAAAAAGCGTGGCACTCTCTTTACACGAGGCATCGGATTTAACGTCCCCATTCTGACCGGACGTGGCTGCAAATTTGTACATCCCGCACAGCCAAACGGACGCCCCACTTTAGCACGGGTTTTACTGCCGGTCGGAGGAAGACCAATGGTGACCATACTTCTATTCCCCAGTCACCCTTGGGGGTTCGATTGGTATGAAGGTGGAAGAAGAGCAATTGTGTATTTTCTGACGAACTATGTTGAAACATCTCGCGAAGTTTTTGACAATGAAACCATACCTGAAAACCCGCAGAACACTTACATGAAATTCCAAGATGACCTCCAGAAAGAATCTAGAACTGCTATAGAGTTACTTTTCACAGGCAAGTTCACATAAAACTATCATGAGTAAATATGCACTGTTAAGTATTTGTCTTTTCAATATATATAGGCTGACCAACACTGACAAAAATATTTGAATTAAAATTAGCATCAAAGATACAAATTTGTAGCGTTAGATAGCTGTTTCTGGTTTTACCGTCATCAGTAACGCTCAAGTTCAACTATGGAAAATATACCAAAATATAGACCAAAAGTTGAAGAGTAATGCAGAAGTCATCTTCACAGAGAGCCAATATCGGATGAGGTTGCCTATGCTCGAGGGAGACACAATGAAATATTCACAATTAAAAAAAACTACTGTCAAAATAGGTATCTGATGACATTCAAGCACAAATGAAAACACATGTACTTAAAGACTCAACTTTCGGATGAAAAATGATGTGATAACATCAGATTGAATTGTTGATAACAAAAGCAATAATTATCAATACTAATTGTTATAATTTATTGGACTCTTTGTCTAACTATTTGGTGTGTCAGATTTAAAAAAAATCTTGATATTTTGATATATCAAATATATTAAATTTTCCGTTTGTACCCATTTGTTTGTTCAGTAACTACGTCAGTCAGACTGCACGTTTCTGTGATCTCAACAATTTACTCACGTTTGGAATGTTTTCACTAATAAGTATATTTTTATTTCAATTGAAGGAAGTCATGCTCAAAATCTTTTAGCTTTTCACTGGAAGTACCCCCCGAATACTCCATTAGAGATGGGACTAAGATCAATGACTGATATAGATGTTTTGCTTGTAAATAAATACCAAACTGTAGCAGAGGTACCACATTCCTCCAAACGTCAATACATAATGAAAAAAAGTTCTCACTCAGGATATGTCAATCTATTCAAAGGAAAACAGACAATTTCAAGTAAAGGATTTAAAAAATATTGGAAAACTATAATAGACAAAGTTCAAATGCATGCATTCCTCAGTGGACGTGGCAAAAAATTTCCCGCCAGAGGAGATAAGTCTTCAGGTAAGTTTTAGTTGCTCAGTCCTTAGTTTTCTATGTTGTGGTTTGTGTACTGTTGTTTGTGTATTTGTCTTTTTCTTGTCTTTTAGCCATGGCGTTGTCAGTTTATTTTCGACTTATGAGTTTGAATGTCCCTTTGGTATCTTTCGCCTCGTTTTTAAACATTTTCGTCTTCAGCTCAAATTGCTCCTTATATATGTGATTTTCCTAAATAAAGTCCATAGACATTGACACAAAAATGACTGTTTCTTTATGATATAGGTATCTTTGTTTGTCTTTCTTGAAATTTTAATGTTATAATATTGTAAACAAAAAAGTCAACACACTACATTGTCCCCCTACTGGCATGGTGATGTTCTGTTTTAATAAAAATTCAAAGAAGTGGCCAATTTAGAATATAGATCTCCAATAAGGAGGTGAACTCATTTTGTGTATTGAATGATATAGCGGTGGTGAGAACAATAAAAATCCCGGTCAATTAATATCGACGTAGATACACATATATCTGTTGATTAGTTTATGTTGTCGACATATTAGACGACTAGATATACTGCAATTATGCCGCGTTGTTTCAAAGTGTTCACTCAATCTTTTAGCAATGTTAATAATCATCAGCAAGGGGTAAGTCGATCAATTCAAAAGACAAATTCTTTGTGGGATTGCAGTGTCATTATGACGTCATTATTAAAAACGATCTAAATACCTAATGACTTTATTAAACCATGACATCAAATATCCATGACTTTTGAGAAAATTTCTTAGATTCTATCAAAGTGTTAGATTTATTTTCCTTTGTCTTTGGTTATTAAATTTACGACTCCTCAGAATCGTTTGTTATGAACTATTGTTTATTGGTAGCAAATAAAATAACTGACTCACCACTGGCTCGCTTACTATGATATTGCTATTCAAAAACACTAGTTAATGACAACTATACATATTTTCCCTCGTTGTGAAATCTATATACAAATATACAGTAAAGGTCTATAACAGTCACCATGATTACAGTACACATGGGTCTAGTTATCATCTAATTCAACAACTGCAAATATAATTTGTTTAGCCTTGACAAAGTTGAAAAATGGCTAACTCTTTTCAAACTCAAACTAAATTCTTACACTATTTTCATTATTTAGGCATAATATTTTCCTACTTACAAACCTAGTCATAATTTCTTGAAACTACATGTACATTTGTTACCCCAAAGGTATGTCAGAATCTAGTCAGGTAGACTTATTCAACTAAAGTTATTTTCGACATTTCCCTCTCTTTAGAGAAAAAAATAATTTTGTGGACTATAACCAGTCATTTGAGTGGTTGTAAAGGATACTAAATATAAAATATGAACAGTTGGTATCATAAGGAATGGAAAACTTCTCTAGATCTTGTATGCATATTTTAATGAAGCAATCATTGTATAACTATTCCTGAATATATATTTATATCTGTTGAAAAAAAAAAAATTTTGAAAAAAAAAAAAAAATAACTAAATTACAAACACACAAAATATATTCATTTCTTGTAGAAAAAAACTAATTATAATCAGAAAACAATAAAATTATCTGTCTGTCCCTGAGTGATATTCAGCGATGACACTTATGATCCATATCATAGAACCCAGCAATATGATGTATCTTTCAAATGTGTTAATGTCAGAAAAATTACATATACTGGCTTATAAAGGAACTTGGTTAGGTAATTCAAAATCAGTATAAATTTTAGTATTCTCGGCAATTGATAACAGATAAAAAAAGGAATTTTCTTTCCTATAGCTGATGTAAAATTGCGAAAGTGTCTAATCAGGCAGCTTTATATTGCCGGGCTAGCTAAGTATTCAATGAAACATTTTCCCAAGTTAAATCATCTGTTGTATCAGCAGACATATTTGGCCGTCATAAGTACTGTGACACAAACTACTCTAGGACTGATGTGAACGGAATGTTGATACCAGCATATGAAGTTAAGTTATCTTAGTCAAACAATTTTCTATAGTCTATGCATCCTACTTTGTATCTTATTTTGTAGGTAGATATTTGCTGCTGACGATAGCTATACTAATCAGACATTTATTTCAGTTAAATTGAAGTTTAAATGGGGAAGTTTTATGGTCATCGTCATGAATTTGTTAATATCTCCAGAGTGTTTTTCTCACAGATAACTCGGGATCTGTTCAAATTGTGGTAATTTCTTTTGGTTCCTTTTGCTTCTTTGAGACATCTAATATATTTTGAATTACCTTTAGAAATACGGCAATTGCAAAATGTAAAGTAAGAACTGAATAATCTATTTGTTTTATTTGGTTTGGTTTGTGTTCAAACAATTATATAATCATTTTGTGAAAAGCTATGTGTGTTTGTCGATAAACTTCAGTTTCACATGTTACTTTGTATCGTCGTAAATAGACAAGTTTCTCATATGTAATCACTGCAAAAGTCAAAACTTAAATGTTGTATTAAAGATATACGGAAAGTCTCGGTACCGGCTGTTTACCCCAACTTTAACAGGAAAATGATGGGGATTAACTTAAATTAAAAAATGTACTAAAAAATAAGCATTTCAAGGCAACAAATTAACTGCTATATACAATTTCGATAATCGTCTTCCCATCTTGTAAGCTCACTTGGGCCAAAGATACATATGAGGTATTGCCATGATCCCTTGGCATTCGTCGTTGACAGTAGTCATTTCAAGCTTTAAAAGCATTTGAACCAAACGTGGAAAATGGGTAATTTTTTCAGTACGCCTATGCTAATTGTTATAATTTTTTTTAATAAAAACCCAGTTGTAAGCTTTAAGTGTTTAAATGAAAGATTGTAGCATTTATGAGTCTTCAGAATTAATATTACACACGATTTAGATCTATTTTTATGAGATTTAAATATATTTAAGTCAGATTGTTGCATGATTTATGCTCGTACAGTGTCAGTACTGAATTGATTACAAGAGAATTTATTGTCTGAACAGTACTGAATTTACCGCAGTCGAAAGATATGTAAATTGAATAAAAGACTAAACATGAATTAACAATTTACTGTTCAGTCTTTTCAGATGATGTTTGTTTACTAGTGCTGATTGCTTTGAACTCTTAAAAATGAACTATTTAAGAATGTTTATAATAATTCTAAGCAAAAATCAGAGTTTCTTTATTATTCTACGTAACATTGATTTCACAAACTAATTTCAAACGGCGTACATAAGTGCATGTCTATCCCGTTACCGATACTACATCAACCGTGTAATTATTACCCATTTGAATATAGAACTACAAAGTGATGATTTAAAAAGCACAAAGCATACTAACAATTGAACACGGCAAGTTTCTTACATAACAGTGTAAAGAAAAGAAAATTCAAGAACTTTAGTAAAACAAATAAGTGTGTACCCTTCTTTCATGTCTGCTGTTACCAACAAATTTATAAATGACAACAAAAAGTGCAATTACGTGTTGGCAACGAATTCGAAGACCACAGAACAAAACATCATCACTGCAAAAAAGGAGTAGTTATGATTTCATGTATTATGTGTATGAGCTTGACGATACATTCGATTGACATGTGTTTACGGAAACTCTGAATTCAAATTTTGCTGCTTATTGCCGTTGGACCGATATTACACAACGTCCATGGAGACTTCTTTTATTTGCACAAAAAATACCTATGGAGTCAAGTGCGCCATAAAATTCAAATCTGAGACGACCCTTTCATTTTACCTGTCAAAATCGGTGGCAAAAGTTGGTACCGTATCTTTCCGTAAATCTCTTTTGGGCAATACAAAAATCATAATTAATTTATTTGACCTTTTTCCACTTATATATCAAATTTTATATCTCATACATTGTATATCTCTCTTTAAGCAATATGCCTGCTTTGTTTGTTGTCGATGTACAACCTTATAGCCGGCAACAATTGGACTGAGACCACTACATTTGATGCCTGCTTTTGGAGATTTATTCTCTTATTTTTAGGTCAAACGAACATTGAACTGCTTGTTATGATAATTCTAAGGTTGTTAGGTAAATATATACCTTGTAAATTATGACCCTCTCCATAATTCTTTTTGCAAGTGGTAACAAAACTATCAAGTATTTTACCCTTCCTATTTCCCCATTTTAAAACAAATATTTTGTTTTTGATGACCCTTGTCCTCTTGATTTATATCTCAAATGCTACTTATGTGTAGGTTTGTTTTTCTCTTCGTTATATAAATTAAAACTACACAACGGTGACATGATTTATTTTGTATATTATATAGGACCAGCATTGACTAAATTGGAAAGTATAGGTAACAGAACCTTTTACGACCATGATTTTGTACCAGCATTAAAATGTGTTGGTTGGCCTTCTCAAGCAAAAGAATGGAAGTTAAGAAAAAGACAAAGTGGATGGCCATCACCAGATTTAATCAGCAAGTGTCTAACGTCAGACTGCCATGTTGTGCCCGTTGGTCACAAATGCAGTTCTAAATACGATAAACGAAAGGAATGGCGCATATCGTTTACCGGTGCTTCATATATACTAGAACATTCTTTGAGTTTTAACCAAAGACAAGCATTTATTCTGAGTAAACTACTGATTAAAGAAACATTAAACATTCTTTTAAAACGCAGACCTAGTTTTGAAAATTTTAGATTAGTGACTTCCCATGAAATAAAAACGTCATTTTTATGGTTATGCGAGGAAAAACTGGCATGGGAAAACATTTTCATAGATTGTAATGAAATAATTGAAAAACTGCTATACTTCTTATGCAAACGGGTTCTTCCTGATTACTTCATTCCGGAAAGAAATATTATTGAAACAATATCGGAAGAGGCAATTGAACAATGTATCGATTCCCTTCATTCAATCCTCATCGACGGCAATCTTCTGACTATTTTAAATAAATGTCTACGGTCAGTTTATGCTGATGTCACAAACTATCCTTTACCAATGGTCCCACAAATTAAAGCATTTTTGTCTGATGTTGACAATTTCATTGAATCAGGAAATCCTTCAAATCGATTATACATTTTGAGTATAATTCAACTTGTTGTGGATGCATTGACGGCAGCTTTTATGAATTCAAACATGACAAAAAACTTTATTGATATAGGTAAGATTTATTCGAACTTAACTTTCCTGCAGAATTTGCTGATCGGTAGACTCAAAATTAAGGCTTTCTTTGATCTTGACCTGATCAGACAACTTTCTTTCAACACATTTTCTACTAAAGCTGTTCCACTTCTTGAAGAAGTTAATGGAAATGCAAGCATACATGTATCAATGATTGATGAGATGTTCGAGTATTTTACAGAATTGGTTATAGATATCGCAGACAACTTCTCTGATGTTCTATCTCAGGATTTCGTTTTTGAATATTTACAAATGGATATATGGGCTCCAGTTTCGCTGTTCCTTGGAGATTTATGTATCCAAGCTGGGATTCAATATAGAATGCGCCAGGAAATAATCGATTTTGAATCTCTGATCGAACAAAACTTGAATAATCCAGGCCTTGTTGAATCATTGATCGACGGATATGGTACGATAGAAGATCTTCAAAAAAACTCAACTATATCCAAACAAAAGGTAGACAATTGGTTCCAAATATATACATCTTTTGCTGAATGTGGATTAGAACTTTATTTTCATTCATGCAAAAAACTAAAATTAGAAGACACGATAGCATTCAGCTGCTTCGAAGAAAAAATGTCTGTGTCCTTTGCAAAATCATTACGAAAAAACATTCCAGAGATATTTGATGATGAAATGCTAGGAAGTCTTGTGTTGCGGAACAGAATTAAATTATTATTCGACGAAAATTTTGATGACCTAGATTTCAATCTATGAAATTTCATTATTCAACGATCAAAATAGTTTTGTCTCATATATCCCAATGCATGCGCAATGACTGGAAATCAGTTCAATTTGTATTTGTCAGTCTTTGTACTTTGTTATTGCCTTTTGATTATGTTATATTAATGCACATACATTTTATTATAAATTATGATTTCAATTCTGATTGCAATTTTGTATGACATCAATATGAAACAGTTTAGAAGAAAATAAAATGCCTTAATACCGTGAATGATTTATGATCAAGTGACAGTTAAAAATTTCCGTTATGAAGAAATTTTTATAAAAACAAGTACTGTAAAATCAGAAATTTTTGCGTGCATTAATTGTTGCGATATTTGAAGAATGGACAAAAATTCAAGATTCATGATTTACTATTGACTTCAGGAAAATCTGTATACAGATATATGCATCAGATATCAGAATACAAGTTCTTACTATTGCCATTGTCGCATTATGCGCATAATAAAAATAATCGCAATAATTTGATGATTTAGGTGATTACAACTTCAGTTTGATGTCTTATAAATCTCAGCTATGTCTTATTGATCTCAGCTATCGAGTAAGGGGGCAATGGTATTTTTCGGGTAAAAAGATCGCAAATGCTAAACTTTTTTCTTGAACTAAACCTCATTTTCCAAAGCGTATGATATCCATATGTTAAAACATGAATACAATGCACTGTTTTATAATTTTTATTGTCATAAATGGTTTGATGCTTTGAGTGACTATGCTGAAAAAATGAATTTTTGTTTTAGCCGGAAATCAAATTAACAGCTGATTTGACAACATCGGCGATATGGACTGATGATGGTCTCAAGTTTAAGATGGGCCCTTATGAATTTTCTTGATGTTGTTGGTTTTTTTTTTTTGGTTTGCGGAATGCCAGCGCATGAGAAATTTTGAGGATAAGGTCGTCTTCAATTAAATGTCTGTTGTCACGGACTGTATGATATGGTAAATTCTACAACCTCCTATTATCAGATGTTTCGCAGGATACCAAATCAATGGTTTTGTTTGGGTTGTGTAGAATAAATGTCTTTAATACGATAACAATGTAGTTCTATCGTAAGGTCTGCTTCTAGAGCAATGACAAGAGTGACAGTTTTTTTGGAGATAAGAACTAGAGTTTTTCAGTTTTCTAAGTTTGTATATGCGTTGTAAAAGTTTTTTGTTATAAAACAGTGATTGTATCAAAAATGTGATTTTTATGATGTTGACGTGTAAGTGAATTTGATAGTGGTACAAAATTCTTACGAAAATATTTTACAGATAATTCTAGTTGTGCAATATCTTGGTAACATGATAATTGATTGGCCAATGTCATGCGTATATTTTACACTATATTAGTAAATTTAGTTACCAATGAGTGTACCGTCAAAAGTCGCCGTTTTGACTTCTTGAAATACAATATAATGATAATACAATATAGTACTAGTAGATTATAAGGACGTCACTTAAATAAAATTTCATCAAACAACGGAACAAGTGGGAATTGAAACAACTGTCATATCCTGACTTGGTAAGGGCATTTGTCGAAGAAAATGGTGAGTTAAACGGAGAAAATAACTGCAAAATTCTCGTTTCTTCATTCATACAGCATTTTAGAGTTCCCTATATAATGTGTATGGTGTAGTTGAATATGGTGTAATGGTTTATGGCGTTTTATTGTGTGGTGTATGAGGAATACAAACTGTTGATTTTTTAAATTGAGTTCGTTTTATACAAGATATATTGAAATTTGCAATAACGTTACATTTTGGGTAATTTGGAATGGTGCAAATCTGGATTGATGAAAATGAGGAGAAAAGGGGACAGAGTCGTAGTGTTTGATGTATGGTATATAAGGGAAATGGATTATGGTGTAATGGTGTTTGGTGTATTGTGAAATGGTGTATGGTGAAATAGTGTATGGTATAAGTGGGTAGTTTACAACACTCAAAGACTGTAACATTCTTGAAATCGTATAATCCTAATATCAGTGGGTCGGATGTTTTCTACAGTAAGGGAAAACTTTGTGATGTCTATCATACAATAACAGGCGAGTTCGACTTATCCGCTCATGTTTATAATCATTAATGCGTAAAGATTCGATTATAAATATACAATCTTTTCAATATTTTCAACCTTTTGAAAGTTAGCATTTTTTTGGGAAACCTTTTCTTGTTTAATGATTACATTTTATGTAATCATCCGGTAACCATCCTTCTTCCCTTCGATCGACAGGATTCAAAATGACGTTTTTGTGTTAAACAGAATTTTTAAGATGTGGATAACGATAGATAACTCTAAAAAATTACAGCAAAGATTTTAACTAATTATATTTGATACAAATGTTGTATATAAAGACGACATGATCATTTTTGCTAAATCTGCTGTTGAATCGCAGTCTGCCTAAATCAATATATATAAGTTGTGAAACATGAACACTTTAAGTCAATACAGCCAAAAATAGAATTGTAATATTTCCCAAGTTCAAACAGACTAAAAATGCTCATTTTACGTACAGTAACGAACGTTTATCTGATTTTCATGATTTTTAATATCTTGGTTTTATATTTTCTAGAAAGGATACCTTTCATAGTTATAAGTCTAGACTTCAACAACAAACCAGACAAGCTATGGATTGCGTTAGGCAAAACCAATTGTGCTTACCAATATATATTTTATTATATTTGGTTGAAGCTATGGACACACCTATTATATTATACATGTTATATGGTGCTGAAATTTAGGGTTATGAAACAAATGGTATAGGCTGTACCTGAAAGAAGTACAGAAAGAGGTAGGGGTGGGGACATAAAATGATCCATGCTTCTATACGTAATGGAGACAGACAAGTTTTTCTTATTAGTTTAAACATTTGTTTTATTTATTAATAACTGCAGTGTGTATATTTACAATATAAGTTTTGAAACATATTGAAATATTTTCATGAGAATTATTCGAAAAGGCTTCCAAATTTTCAAAACTTTGATGTAAAATGACGGTGGACATGGACACCATAAATAAGCTCCGTTCGAAGATGGTGTTGATACCATTTGAAATCAATTTCTTAACAGAAAATCACATATAACTGTTTTGTCCAGGTATTTATTATTAAAAGTTGTTAATTTAGAAATGTTAATGTAGGAAGAATAAATACTACCGTTTTCCCTTTACTGAAGATCGGAAAGGAAATCAAAATCAATCAGAGTTCAGTTATATTGGACTTTGCAATTAAGACTTGGTAAATGTATTATGAAAGTCTAAAATTGCACATCTAATTGCATGGTAAATGTTGAACTTGGTAGATTACTAGATTTACGGATAAAAAAGAAAAAATTCGTATACACTGTATGAAATGCTGTAATTACTTGACTATATGGCAATGTTTATCATTCTAAATGGTTAAATTATGTAACAGATATATTAATTGAATAAGGATATGTTGAGGTCTGGAATAATCAATTTGTGGGACAGTATTGAAATTTATCTAAACATGTGAAACAGTTTTACCATGATTTGTCTGTAAACGATTGTAAGACTAAAGTATTATCTTAATATCTAAATTATAGAATGTAGAAGTTTGAATTTGGTACGGAAAATAATTTAGCTGTTTTACCTATTGATGTAAGATACAAATCACGTAAATTTAGATTCAATAGTCAAAGGTAACCAATTGGATGTGGTAATTTTTTTAGTATCGATAGATCGGAAAGAGTCATATATGTACCAAGAAGAGTTGGGTGTTGAATGTAATAATATATTTAATTGTCTTCAATGAAGAGACAAAAGTTTGTACCTGCAGACTGTGCAGAGATATGTCAAGTTAATGTTGTTAGTTTCTATAAATTAACAAATAGTAAAGATAAATATATTTTTTGTTGATGTATCCAAATTCTGTAAAATTATCATGTCTATTTCAATGTGGTATAAACTTTCCTACGCAATTCTGTAAATATACATATGTTGTTCATGAATTATGTTTGTTTGTACTATCATGTGTCATTTAAAGAGGCCTTTAGTGAAATAAAGCTTCAAAAGCTTCAAATCTGAAAATTTCAAGTTACTGGGATAAATTATTACACATTGTATGCATTCCTATGGGGAATTGTATTCAATTCTTTAATCGATTTCTGTGTGACTTCAATTCTACAGTTTTATGCTTGTGGTTGTTTTATTTATATATATACTTGCACATTGTAAATTGTATGGCTTTCCAAATACCGTTTCGATTCCTAACATCACTGAAGAGACATTAATTGTCGAAATCCGGATATGGTGTACAAAAACCTTTGCACCTTGATTTGCGGTATACCATCTTTTCCGCAAATTTATTGTTTTCTGTTTAGTATTAAATTTATAATTAAGATCCATTTATTACATCGGTGATCCGTTTATTTGGCAATCGCCAATGGCAGACAGCAGGGTTTAAGAACATTTGTCTTTCGACCTGTTACTCAAATGCGTTTTGTTAAAATATACTTTTTCACTTTTTTGGTCTTTTGGAAAATGTTGTTTGTGCTGTATTTAGACCCCTCTAACAAGAAATTTGTTTTGCATGCACACGTATAAAAATTCCGGTTTTTATTCAACGCAATCATAGGTTTGACGTTGTTTTCAATTTAGACTTGTTTTTTTTATATACATATATATATATGTGTTAATTGTAGTGTTGTATATTGTATATTTTTGTCCATGAAATATTGATGATACATGTAGATGTTGTGAAACATCTGCATGTTGACATCTATCCTGATGTATCAAAACTAGGATCGATTTAAGGCTAGAAAAATGGTTATTTGAACTTAATTTTATTCTTTTTGTATTAATTCGTAGCTCAGTTCTACTTAACCATACTACTTTCTTAAAATCTGCAATTATAAGTTTGGTATGACTCATATAATATATATATGCAAATCCAAGCATGAACTGATGACTAAATCTAGTCATTGTAAAGATATTTTAGAGCAGTTCCAACTTGTTTAAGTATGTTTTAAGCTTGGTGGATTTACATAACTGTTCTTTCCTGGATTTAGATATTTCATTTTTTTACACGGGCAACTCTACACAAAAATTTACGATAAAAGGGACGAGCTTTCCTCATTTTTAATGTTCCTCTTATAAACTTTGATGTTCCTTTGGCACAATTTACCGTGTTTTTATATCAAAACTTGTTCGCAATAGCAAAGAAAAGATTTATTTATGAGTTAGAACTTCTAGTTTTTGGTATTATCCTGTATTTAAAGTTTTAGTCATATATTGGGATTGGATTTGTATTTTTTAAAGTATGTATATCATCAATTCATTAAATAAATGTGATTGAGATTAGTAAATGCATGCCTGCATGTATAATATTTAAATTTAAACAGGTCTAAATTGAAAACAACGTTCGAACCTATGA